TATATTACAATTACCATGACCTGGATGACTGAGAATCTTAACTGACATGTCTAAGTGTAACAGGAAGCCAGTGCAGAGCAGCTAAGACTGGCCTGATGTGCTCTCTCCTCTTGGTTCTGGTTAATAGCCGAGCTGCAGAGTTTTGAATGAGCTGAAGTCTCTCAGGGGTGTTTTTCGGGAAGCCAGTAAAAAGTGCATCACAGGGGTTGAGTTGGCTTGAAATAAAGGCATGAATCAATTTCTCGGCATCTTCTTCATTTAGAAATGGTCGTACCTTAGCTATGTTTCTGAGGTGGAAAAATTATGTTTTTATTACCTAGTTATGTTGTAATATAGGATCATACGGAGACCTGTAATCTCAGGTTTAATCCAGGGAGTTGAATTCCCCAGATTATTAAACAGCACTTTTTTAGGACCAACAAACAGGATGTCAGTTTTGTTTTCACTGAAATCTAGAAAAATGACTGTTCATCCATTTACTTGTTGCCAAAAGACAGGTCGTAATAACAGTAGATAATATTGGAGCAGAGTTTTATTGTCTTCGATCTCACCTCGGACTGTAAATAACACATAACATGTAGAGAAATACACACACACACACACACACACACACTCACACTCACACTCATCAGTAGCATCAGTAGTGTCAGCACCAACTCCTAGTTTACACCTCAGTAATCTTTCAGTTCTCTTCGTCCTCTTCCTCTTACAGACGTGTTTGTTTTTCCTGCAGGCACTCGTCTTCTCTTCTTCTCTTCACCTCTTCTTCCTCTCTTCGTCCTGCCTTCATCCTCCAACCCCCAACGTCAGTGGAACGTTTCAATCCCCTCTGATATTCAGGTTAATCTGATTATGAAGATATTCTCTGAGACACCTCTTCGTCAATGACGGCCAAGATGGAGACTCCTTTTTACCACGATGACTCCTCCGCTGTCCCCGCCTTTAGCCAGATTGCAGAATACGAGCGTTACCCCGGAAACAAGATGCTGATGAGTAAGAAGGCCATGTCAGTGGTGGGCAGTCATCACTTCCCCAGCGGTGGTGCAGCAGGAGGGAGGGGCGGGAACCACAACAACCTGGGGCTCGCTGGCAACAGCTCCCTGATGACATCGGCAGCACCCTCGGCGGACATGAACCTCCTGAAGCTGGCATCCCCCGACCTGGAGCACTTGATCATCCAGTCTAACCAGGGACTGGTCACCACCAGCCCTGTGTCAAACTCCACCAATGCCTTTCTGTACCGCAACCAGGCCACCAACGAGCAAGAAGGATTTGCTGATGGCTTTGTGAAAGCGCTCGCTGATCTTCACAAACAGAACCAGCTAGTGGGAGGTGGCCCCATGTCCCCATCTTCATCCTCCGCCGTCTCTCTGCAGACATCCTACCAGAGGAACCTGATGTCCAGTGGAGACATGCCCATCTACACCAACCTCAGCAGCTACAACCCGGGCCAGATGACTTACCCTGGGGGGCAGATGGCGTACAGTAGTGGCTCAGGCCATGGCAGCGGTGGAGCCTCTCAAAGCCACACCAGAGGCCTGGACGCCCCTCAGACAGTCCCTGAGGTGCCTCATCCGGCGGGCGACCCTACTTCCCCGCCCTCCCTCTCTCCAATTGACTTGGAGACACAGGAGCGAATCAAAGCAGAACGCAAAAAGCTCCGCAACCGCATCGCTGCGTCCAAGTGCCGCAAGCGGAAGCTGGAGCGGATCTCGCGGCTGGAGGAGAAGGTGAAGGTCCTGAAGAACCAGAACTCAGACCTGGCCTCCACCGCTGCCATGCTGCGGGAGCAGGTTGCCCAGCTCAAACAGAAGGTCATGAGTCATGTCACCAATGGCTGCCAGATCGCCGTCAGCTCGGCCACTGGCAAGTCTGGAGGAGGAGGGGGAGGAGCTGGCAGTGAGGACTCCAGCTGCTGAGGGGGACACAAGCTGAATAAGCATCTGAACACAAGCCAAGGGGCCAGGGGGCCAAGGGTTTACTTTTACGATTTTGCCATTTTGCTCGCATTTGCGGTCAGAGTGAGCAGAGATGGAGGCGTAAGAACAGATGGATGTTTAATGGGATTCGTGTAGCCCTGTAAACCGCTGTCAATCATCCAGCCACAGGGGGCGGAGCATAGAGGAGAGAGAGGAGACAGAATGAGGGATAAATCCCTGATGTGCAGTTCAAATTTGGGTAATTTGAATTTTGCTGTTGATTTTTTGTCAGAGGAGATGTTGGCAAATTTTATTTAAAGAGAATGTGTGTATGAACAGATATGACACATTTACTGGACAGATGAGTTCAATTTACAGACAGGTCATGACAATATTCTTTTTTTTTTTTGAGATGTCAATACATCTCAGTAAATAACTGGAAACATTGGAAATTCTTTTCCACCATTGATTTTATTGTCATTTATAGTACAAATATTGTTTGAATAAATGACATATTAAAATGAACATTTTTACAGTGTGACATTAATCTTTTATATTTTGAAACAGCGTTGAAAACACTGCTTATAAAAGGTTATCCAAATGTTCAAATCGCAAGTACTGATTTAATTCATTCAGTGTGAAGTAATCACATTACTGTAGGTACAGAGTAAGGACTGTAATTTAAATTTTCTTGTCAGAATTTACAATAATCAGTTATCAGAAGAGTGTTAAAGAGATAATTTGTTACTTTTTTTACTACAGTCCCACTGTGTGTTAGTGATGGGACCATACACACCAAGCACTATGACACCTCTGTTTTTTACAGTAACTCTTCATAGTTACTGTGATAGATCTATGTAATCTGATTACATGTCTGAAACTGAAGCCCAGCTGTGGTTCGTAATAATCCAGTGACTGTTTAAAATTTTGAACTGTGTTTCTGTGTTTTCTTTGTCTATTGTTGCTGGAAGTTAAAAGCCTTTAAAGCTGCATTTCGATCAGGAAGTGGTTAAAAGTTGGTTGTTTTTTTGAGCTGACTGGCTGTTTGTTCATTTCAGTTGTTGGCTTATGGAAACTGTTCTCACTTTCTCTGGATCTTTCAGGAATCAGGACTGAAGGGAATGTTCAATTTAAGACCTGCCAGTGACGACACCTGTATGGTTTTAATATCTCAATTTAAAAACAAGTTGTTGTTTGTTTTGTTTTTTTACTTTTCAACTACTGGTAAGAAGAGAGAATTTCACGTTCCACTCAATGGCAGTTTTTTTGAAATAGTTCACGTGTTTTTGAAGCAACAGATCTATTACTGACATAAACATAAATTATGATGATGAACAATGTCAGATGAAGCGTTTCTTGTCTCCTTTATTCTCAGTGCATAACAGTATAAGATATGACTATTGAACATTTATCACTTTGATTAGTTTGCAGCTTTAGATGGAAGCCAATTTCTGCCAGGAATGAAGAAAAAAAAGATTGAATGTTAAGGGTGATGAAAAAAAATTAAAAACAAAAACAAACATATAATCTCATATGTCCTAATTTGGCCTTCCATGATGTTATATTATAATTTTAATTGGGAAAAAGTCAAGATTTAAGGGTTGTTGTAATTCACCTTGTTTTTCTTCCTGGTTGTAATGAGCTTTCACTGGTTAAAGATCTTCAAAGAAATTTATAAAGAAAGATTTTGTTTACTCAAAAATTATCTCAGTGGAATATCAAATGTGTTTCACCTGCTTTGGTAAAAATATATTTTTAAGAGTCAATTTCAGGTTCAATTACCTGATGAATTTGTGAATTATTAATTAATTATTATTATTATTATTAATTAATTAATTATTTAAAGTTAAAGGTCCAACCTTTAATCCTAAATGTAAACAAAATGTATATGAAGGATAATGCACTCCTAGCTGTGCTGTTATGAAGAATAATGCACTCTCAATTGTGTACATATAGTGCTCACTGTGGAAATATGCTCCTCAAGGAGGTTTCTGAGGTCCTTGAGGGGACTCGTTAGATCTTTGAGGAGTCTGCAGAGGTCTTTGAGAGGGTTTCTGAGGTCCTGGAAAAGGATGCAGTCCTTGAACAGGTTGAAGAGGGCCTTGGGGAGAATGTAGAGGTTCTTGAGGGGTTTCCTGAACTCCCCGAGACGGTTATGGAGACTTAAGCATCAGCACTATTGCTAGGGGTTACCTGCAGGTTAATCTCCTGAGATCCAAGCTTTTGTTTGGCATGCATTGTTAATTTCTCACTTCTCCTGAGTAATTTTAAGTAGGATCTGATAAGTATAAGTATAAAAAACTAAGCATTGTCTTTGAACACTAAGTAGTTTTTGAAAAAAAAAAGTCCTCCTATGGGGGCATTGGTTTTATTTTTAATGGTCACAAGTGTGTAATAAATTGTAAAAAAAAAAAAGAAAAAAAAAAAAAAAAGAAAGAAAAAACCCCTGCTCAAAACAGTTAATTTCACTGCCTGAACATGGCTGTGTGAAAAGTGAAAAGTGAAAATTGCAAATAATGCAGCATATCTAAAAGCAATGTGAGTTGTTCATTTCGTAACTGTATGATTTTTCTTTGCTCTCTATTCCAAGCTTGGAATGTCCTTTCTGTCTGTGGGAACAGTCTGTCACACCTAACTGACCTGTGCTACTCACGATAATACAATAATAAAGTCCCAATGTCCTCAAACAAGTACTTCCTAATTTAGCTTGTTACTGTTGCTAAAATTGGTCAGATTTAAATGCTATATCAAACTACAAATGTTATTTAGTATAAATAATCATTTTTTAACCATTACATTTGATCAGGTTTTGTATCTTGTCTTTTTGTGTGCATGTTGGGATCTGCTGTAGACTAATTTGGCAGAAATGGCCGCCATCTTGTTTTTACATGGATTAGTGTATTTTATTTTATGAAATATATTTTATTTTTTTGCTATCACTAGAAGGCACAAAAAGGTGTCCATGAATGAAGACAATGGGTCAAAGAAGCAGAATGAAGTATAAGGTGCAGCAAACCCAAAATGTAATGTCCTCATATAAGGATGCAGGGTCGCAGGAGGTTAAATTGATTTAGATTAGTGGTTAAACTGTTAACCTGAACTACGTTTGAAATGTCCACACGTAAGATTTTTAACAAACTCCTGCCAGCCAATTAGAGAACAAGATGTTCAATTGCTTTAATAAAAATACGACATAGTGTGTGTCATTTTGGAGAGTGTGTTATTGTTCGATAACTGCACATTTTATTCTGGATTTTCTTACTTAACTTAAATTACGTACGTGAGTACAACTTATATTTATATGGTGAAAGAAAGATTGGGCCTTTAATATCTTGGTTCTCTGGAAAATCCACAAAAGAATATATTATGTAAATGTGTTGTTGTTTATGCAGTGTGTTGATTGATATTTTTACATGTTTTTCACTAATGATCCCTCTCTATTTCTGGACTCTGTTTTGTTCTGACTTTCCTGTCCAGTCAGAAGCTCTATCATGTTACAATTTGTAGACTGCAGCTGTCAGACAGAAAAACAGAACTGCAAAGAAATAAAATAAATCTGATTTTTTTTTTGTGAGCAACAAAAAAATATAAAGCTCTACTACTTTTAAAAAAATCACATCAGAGCTTTATCTGAACATTTATGCTCACCCATGAAATAAAAACTGTTTCAGTTGCAGTTAGATGTTTTCTGTTTGACAAAAAAGGGTCTTTTCAAAATACTGTTGGCGAGTTTTAAACAAATATTTATTTTTTTGAACTTGAACAAGGCTTTTGACGTCTAATGATTCTATTTTTGTACAAATGTATAAAGAATATTAATATTCTGAAATGATGTGTGTACAAGCTGTTTGATTTGATCAAACACTTTATGTCTCTATTTATTATGAGTATCTTTTGTTATACTGATGTGTGTTTATTTCCTTTACACTGTTCTGCTGCGTACAAGTGTTTGTGTCAATATATCTGAATATAAAATATTCACCTGCTGCTGGTTTGCTGTTTTTAAATTTAGAGTTGGAGTAAGGTGTTTTCCACATGACAGTGGCCACGTGTTGTAACAAGTACACCTTTCTAAACTCATTTCAACTGTTTTAGGTGTTCAGCATTTCACATAAAGGATAAAGATTCAGCAAACAAATATACATACAGTGTTGAAACTACCATGATTTCAGGTGAAACAGATGTTGGTTTCATGTTGAGAAATTTGGGAGTTATTTTAATGACAAAGAACATCAAACACTTCCTTATTAGGAAACTTCCTAGTTTTGTTTTACTGTAAAATGACGCACATGACAGAATCAGATAAGCAGATCTCCATCTTGGTTTTTATGTTTTCATAAGCAGTTGTGTAGTCTTATAATAACAGCAAAACTACTTAAAGAAAATACATCTTCATTAGTAAGCCCATGGAGCCAAAAAGGATGTGGACAGCTGAACATTCAGCCATATGTTGAACAAAAAACAATGAAAATGAAGCCCTATATCAAGATATTTTTTATTTAAAAAAAAAAAAAGAAAAAGAAAGAATCTGTCCACACCACCTTCATTTAACTAGAATCACCAGTTTGTGGTTGTATGCCTCTGCGGACCAGTAAAGCTGCATTTACAATTCACATCCATGTCTGTAAAAATGTACATACACTTCTTCCCAAGATTAGAGTCACCAGTTTGGTATCTGACCAAATGTCTCCCCTTCTGTTTCTGAGTTATGACGTGGGGCCAGAAAACATTATGATGCCAAAATGAAGTTGATCTTTGACCTTTTGGATATAAAATGTCATGATCTTTGACCTTTTGGATATAAAATGTCATCACTTCATTATTTTATCCTATTAGACATTTGTGTGAAGTTTGGTCATAATTAGCATATGACTTCTTAAGTTATGGCCAAAAACAAGTTTTGTTAGGTCACAGTGACCTCGACCCTTGACCTTTGAACACTAATTTCTAATTGGTTCATTCTTGAGTCCAACTGAACATTTGTGCCAATTGGAGGAAACTCCCTCAAGGCCTTCCTGAGATATTGCGTTCACTAGAATGACATGAATGCAAGGTCACAGTGACCTTGACCTTTGACACCAAATTCCAGCGGGTTCATTGTTGAGTCCAAGTGGACATTTGTGCCAAATCTGAGCCAGGAAATATCGAATTCACAGAATGGGATGTATGGATGGATGAATGGACAACCTGCAAACACAATGCCTTTGGCCACAGCTATCGCCAGTGTGAAGGTATGACAAAATATCTCCATCCACACTAGAAAGGAAAATGACACATTAACTGTCTCTCCCAGTCTCCTGTAAACTGTACAGGCTATGTTACCTTTTTCAAAACACCTGCCGGAGATCTCATTACTGTTGATTCCCCTTTTAAAAGATGAAATTACAAGTTTTTCTTCATCTCACTGACAACAATCCCACTCTCAAAAGTGTCCCACCATCTGCTGGCTCAACTGAGTCTGATCCAAAACCATTGTTTCTGACTTTAAAACTTGGACGCTGAGGTGCCCCTAATGACACTGAGCACAGCAGATGGCTGAGCACCAGTACTCCATCATTTTTGTTATGGTATCTGGCATATGCTTATTACACAAAACAACAATAGGCATCTGTGAATTAAACAGATGATGTCATTATTTCTCAAACGCTCCGTTTTACCCGTCCATAGGGATACAAAATCCTGGGGTTTTGAAAAATCTGCACCAAAGACAGCGTTTTTAAAGATCTCTGTTCTAGTAACCTAAAACTCTGTTTGTGTGTGGACAAGAGACCAAAACGCAGATTTTTAAAAAACACACCTGGATATGTATCGAAAGGGCCTGAATGTGCAGGTGTAACACCCTGAAAAGGAACACAATTCATCAAGATCTCTGCAAACCACGTTCACTCTCTGGCATCCTTAAAGAATGTACCGCTGAACAGAAAAACATAAAGGAAACAAAACAAGAATAACCATGTTAATAAGAAGTCTAGTCCCGCTTTAACTGTCTGTCATCATTCCATTTAGTTTCTGTTGTAGTCCAACATCAATTATCTTCAGTCCAGCTCCTTTTAAATGTCCTTTATACACACATCGTATTAATGATCTGAGGAATCTTATCAACTGTAACTTTCCTGATAGCCAAACAAAATGGATACATTTATTCCCCCTGAGTGTTGACAGATAAGTGATTCAGCTAAATTGTCCTTTAATGTAACAGAAAAAAACTAATTTTTTTCTGTATGTTAACTTCAACAACCTGGTCTCACTCCGAAGTTGTCGAATACCGGCACGTGGTCAGTGACCTCCGGTGTAAGACGCCAACAAAAAAAAGCTGTCCTTTCAAGTCTGCAAGATATGTGGCTGGTCACCGTTATTGTTAAACTGTGCCCAGCAGGGTCAGCAGGAAACATAGTGGGACAACAACATAAGTAAATGGGACACATATTCTAAAAAAAATTGACTTGTCTGTGCATTCTAAATCAAGTATGTTATGAAGCATTTAGAAATGTCATATTTGAGGTCAACACATTCTCACTCCAACCTCATCACATATCAACGTTTGGTCATGGGCTTTCCACGTCAACATATAGTGTGCAAGATACCTTGGGTGTGTTGGTTGGTAAAATGCATAATGTTTCACCTAACCCCTCCGTGATTAGGTAAGGGGAAAGACTTGGCTACTTAGGTAGAGGAAAATGCATATCGACAGGGAAACAGGCTTCAACACAACACTGGCATGCTGGGTGCTGTAAAACACAGTGCGTGAATTTTAACTGTTGCAAGAGGGATTGATGATGTATTAGCTGCACACTGATACATGCTCAACAAATGTGCTCTTTTAGCACAACACCTAAGCCTGGACACTTAATATGAGACTTTTATGAAGTCTGTGGACACTCAACTTTACATTTGTACTGACCAACTTGTAACCAAACACTGTGATTGTGATGAATTTCACTGAATTTCACGGAAACTCCTTTTAAGTTCAAATTTACATAGACACACAAACATGAGCTTTTACAAGAAACAGTAAAAAAAAATAAAAAAACATGACTAAATCCTCATTTTAACCTGTGTCTACACTGGCTACACTCAAAGATCTGTGAGAATTTTTTGCAATATGTCATTTAACCGACTGAAAATATTAACCTAAATTTCTTAATATTTAGAGACAATTTGTTTGCTTCAAACCTTTGCTCCATAAGCAGACAAACATGAGTTATCTTTTTTTTTTTTAAGATTATTTATTTTTTTGTCTTCAATGGGTAGGACAGTGAAGTGTAAAGAGGGAGAGAGAGAGAGAATGACACACAGCAAAGGGCCGCAAGCTGGACTTGAACCCAGACTGCTCCAGCAAGGAGCCTTTGTACATGGGGCGCCTGCTCTAGCTACTAGGCCACAAATGCCCTGAATAATCATTTTTTGATCAATACGTGAGTCTGAGGAAACAATGTTGTATCATATGTGAACATAATGGGAGAAATTATTATGTTGGACACATTTGGTAAATCAGATCAGGGCTCTGGTGCAGACCCACACCAAACCATTTTTTTAAGGAGCTGGCTCTGTACACACTGTTAAAACAGGAGAGGGCCTTTCATGAACTGTTACCACAACTGGAAACTCATTATTATCCAAACCAGGAAAAACAGACTTAGACTGAAAGTGCACCAAAGGATGTGAACAGATGTCCACATACCTTTGGCCATATATTGTACCTATCT